TAGGTGTCCCCAGTACTGAGCACATAGTAGGTGTCCCCAGTGCTGAGCTCATAATAGGTGTCCCCAGTGCTGAGCTCATAATAGGTGTTCAGCAGTGAATGACTGGATAATTAAAGGAAAGAAAGACAAAAAAGGGAGGAAGGGGATGAGAAGGAGAGAAAGGAAGAAAGGAAAAAGAGAGACAGGAAGAGGGAGGTGGGGAGAAGGATTACTGAGTCAGTGAGAATGCTTTTGGCTCTAACATGATGAGTTAGAGGATCAAGGGACCCAACAAGGATCAGGAGCCTCCCTTTTAACATATCCCCAGGTGATGTCTTGAGCAGTGGTCCAGACAGGTGTAGGGGTACTCTGTGGTGGCCTCAGGGGCTCCTTCTGGTACTCACGTCGATGGGCACACTGTCGTAGAGACGTTTTCCGATCACAGTCTTGCCCTGGATGTTGATGTTCTCCCTTTCCTCAATGGGCAGTGTGTGCACCAGCATGCAGTCAATGTAGAGGGACACGTTGTGGCCCTGGATGCTTAGGGCCATCTTGTGCCAGTTGCGGTCAAAGAGGTCATTGACCTGGGGTCCGCGGAAGACCACCCTGACAGCGTCCTGCATAACACCCACAGCATTGTACTCCACTGCCCTGTTCTCACCGTCCAGCCGGATGGACACCTGGGGGTGAGAGAGGAGGAACAGAGACTCCTGAGCTCCGTGGATCCAGAGGAGGGGAGAGGAGGGGGAGGGGGTTCAGAATTAAACAAGCCCATTAGCTGTGGGCTGAACTACAAAGTCGGTCTGAACCACAAGGTCAGTGGTTCAAGTTCACCAGCTGCTCCTTGGAAGCCTTATACAAGGTCACTATGAGTCAGAACCAAATCAATGGCACACAACAACAACAAAGTTCAGATACTAGTTTGGATTCTTATTAACTAGAGGACCTTGGACAGAGTCTGTCTTAACTCTTCGCATTATTTTCCTCCTTGGTATAACAGGACCTGGAAGATCTTCTATGCACATTATGAAATGTAATTGTTGTTGTTGTTGTGTGCCATCGAGTCGGTTCCGACCCATAGCGACCCTGTCCAGGGTTTCCGAGGCTGTAAATCTTTACGGGAGCAGAAAGCCTCATCTTTCTCCCGCGGAGCGGCTGGTAGTTTCGAACCAATGACCTTGCAGTTCACAGCCCGATTCGTAACCACTACGCTACCAGAGCTCCTTTACTGGACTCAAATCAATCCAGGGGTCACAAACTCACTTCTCTAATAGTTAAGTGTATGTGTCCACTTGGCTAGGCTGTGGTGCCCAGGTGCCTGGTCAAACACTAGTCTAGATGTTGCCGTGAAGGTATTTTGCAGACGTGGTGACCATCTATAGTCAGTAGTTGACCATAGTAAAGGACATGGCCCTATGCCATATGGATGAGACCAGTGAGCTGTCTGTTACCTGCCAACACCCAGATGGATAAATCATGCATAAGCTGTGTGACCTTCATAAAATTATTTAATCTCTCTGTGCCATTTCCTCATTTGCAAAATGTGGCTAATAGCAGTGCCTACATTATGAAGGTATGAGGATTCAGTGACTAGATGTGATGGCGGATTCCTATGCAAAACACTGTTGTTGTCAGGTCCCTATGAGCTCTCTTAGCCAAAGCCTTGGTTCTCCAATGCTGCTGTAACAGAAATACCACACATGGGTGACTCTCACCGACAGGAATCCATTTGGTCACATCTTTGATGGCTGGAAGTCTGTATTCAGACGCCAGCTCTACAAGAAGCCTTCCTTTCTCCATCGGCTCTGGAGGAAGGGCCTCATTCCTTGGCTCCTTAATGATCTTATTCAGCATCTGTCATCTCTGCTTGCTTCTCAACCCTAATCCCCTCTTTTATTATCTCAAGGGTAACTAGCTTAAAACATACCCTACACTGAAAAGATTTCAGATTGAAGAAGTTGGTAGAATTCTTCTATTTCAACTTCACTGGCTTTAGTAGTTGGTGCATAAATTTGAATAATAGTGGTATTAACTGGGCTTCCCTGTAGG